TACCGTTTAAGGTCACATAAACGCACTACTTAACAGTAACCTCACACCCAGGACTGCTCACCCGTGGTAGTGACCTCTCCGCAGTCACGCATTCGATTTTCTATGCTTACCCTACCCACACTCGATGTGAGCACTCTCGCATACCTATATGATATATCGTCCCCTTTGTAAAAAGTGGCAGGTTATACATATACCCGGTGCATCTGAGCAACATAACGCTTATAATGAAAGCGTTTGTAATTCATAACATTTTACTTTTTTCAGGCCAATCCAACAAAAATACTTGTTTTTCTTTCTTTCTGGACACAATTATGATTTGAAAAAATATGATGTGAAAAACTATTAAGCCAGATAGAAGTAAAAGCCATATCTGATAAGCCTTAATGGTCAACACGGTTAATAAAAAAATTGTTCATACCTTTACCAAGTCCATTATTACAATTACAGGTAAATCATTTCGTTTGTATGCCCCCCCCCCTCCCCCTCCATCATAATATGTTTCCAGGATATTTGTCTTTGCCCAGTTCATTTCTCAGGGAATAGGAAATCAGCTGGAATGGCCTTAGCTGCACGGCTGCAGAGGAGCGTTGTTATAATGCATGTGGCGTAGGAGACAGAACCCATCCCAGGTTATGACTGATGGTGCAGACACGGTCTATAATGCTAATATATTGCAGTGGATACTTGTTATACATTAGCGTTGCAGTCTGCATCCTTAATGTGCACGAACTTGAGAACAAGGACATTTGACATCCTTTATGCATTTGCACATGTGGGTCTGAATGTTATTCCACATCACAAACAAAAGGTGGTCTTGTGGTTAAGAGTTGTTGACTCTTTGAACTAAAGGTTCTACATGTAGGTTGGAATCCCTAGTAGGCCCCAAAATGTTGTACCCTTGGGAAAGGCACTTTACATCTGGTCCTCACTCCACTTGGGTGAAAATGAATCCCTAGCTTTGGACCTGGGAACGGTTAACTGGAGACCCTGTGTATGAGGAGACCTGCACCTTGAACTTAAAGCTTAAACAGCTTTACCCAATGTACAAAATTGGTATGTTACGCCTAGTGCAGTTTACTGTGGTTGTGGAAAAAAACTAAATGTACTTTCTATGCATGTACATGTATTAACTATATTGCAATGAGCAAAGTATTAAACCTAATGATGTGTATAGAGTATATCATTTCATACTGAATCAGATGATATGCTTACTCTATGACTATTAAATAATAACTCATCCATGCCTCAAGGCTAATTGCAGTCAAAACAAACAATGTTTTAAAACTTGAGTATGATGCATGTACATGTACCTATAATAAGTAAACGTGACATATTGGAAGGATTGAGTTCGTTACAATGGGTTAGTAGATATCAAGTTATGCACCATCATTATCATACCTCAATTTTGTCCAGCAAAAATGACAGCACTTGTCTTCACAGATTTTTTTACTGCATGTACTAGAATGTTATTATAGTGTATACTTTGGAAAGAAACAACTAAAGACACAACAAGTTAACTGTTTTTAAGAGTAAGTTTGGCCGACTTCTGGGCACATGCAATTACTACACCAAGCTTAAGAATGGAGTGAAACTTGAACAACTTGAACTACATTTATCAAAATGGACACATCAATTTTGTGTTCAATCCCGCATGCATCCGCTAACATGCAGACGGAGAAAGTTACTATTTCCCATATAACAAATGACCATTTTCCAATATTCACAGTCACGGTTTCCTGATTCAGAGCAGGATCAAATTCTCATTGTGCCCGAGATAACTGGCAAATGCTCGGAGGGAAAAATGTGATATTTTGCTTCAATGAGAAATTTGATTTATGCGTGCACCTTTTACTCATGTTCTAGGGATTATGGATTTTGGAACAAACAGGAAGAGCTTTCTAAAACTATGCTCCCTGGTGGTACATTAATAATAGGTGGCAAGGGAAGTTATGAAATTCAAACTTGTACAGTTTGTAGATGAATGAAAGAAATTGAAAAAAAAAAAACATTAATGCACTGACTGCTAAAATGTCCTCACTCATTACCTCTATGTATGGAGGTTTGGTTTTCGGTGTGTCTGTGTGCTTGTGTTTCTGTACATATTTCTACATGCTAGGCACATTGGGATACTGGCAAGTTAGGTCAAAGGTCCCAGAAAAGGTTATCTTATTTCCTGTCTTCAATTCCCTGCTACAGTATATGCATGTCTGTTGCTTTTGCTTTATGGAAGCCAGTGGGAAAATGCATATCCCAGTATTCAAGATAGCGAGAAAAGATACAATTGTACGGTGTGTGATAGATATATCAGTGATCAGAAACATGCATCAAACATGTATGTAACTGTCTAATAGATGTATATCTAATCAGAATCACAATTAGATCATGTAATTCCTGTTACATCAAATACATGTAACTATTCTTACAAGCCAATCTATTACATCAGCACCCTGTAAGTAGACAATGAGACAAGAAAATCCCTTTGCCCATAATTACATTGTAATCCTACATGTAATATTCTACAAGGCTCTAGGAATATGAGCATGGGCAAAAGCCTGATGCGATACAATTTATTGTGACTTATATACATTCATCATCACAGGATGAAACTGTCAAAACTTTAAATTCTTTCATAGGAACAAAAGAAGTAAATCTCAAAAGTAGAACTCTATAATTATGATGTTAAGCTGATGTGGTCCTAAGTCAAGTATGACAATATAACTTAAAGGTTAATGGTAAACCCTTCTGCCAATGTTCATATTTGCATTTAATTGAATACCTCAGTCTGTGCTTCATGTCCAGCTACACGACTGGAATTCACAATGAAGTCTCGGTGCACACGACGTATATCCTTCAGCGCGTGCTGGAATAAATCCTCTCAATGCCCTAGTGAGGTGGCTAACGTTGCACAAATCACACATTCTGCTGGAGATCTGGCGACAAATACTGTAGGTAAGCCCCTCTCTCAGGAGCTGGTCAAGTGATGAATGCACTATCAGTGTACAATCATATTCACTTTACATGCTGCAGTTTGATGACAGTCGGCAAAAACAGATCTAAACCTGTATATCAGGAATTCTTTGGCACCTCTATCTATTCAGGTAACTCCCATCTTTTAGTAGACATGAGACAGTCCACTATATTTCTTACTCATAGGAAATTCAAACTGTACTGCTGGATAAATTACGGAGATAATTTCCGGACGTGACATACACCACTCTTCTTCAGCATCACTAATGAACTAACAGAACTCATTAACACATAATATATATGAGTATTTACTAAGTAGAAAAAATGCTTGAACATGGCAAAGACTCCTACAGTCATTGATATGTAAAGGAGATAGGGTAGTTCCCATGGTACGACAATACCATAGGAACTGCTGTTGTCCCTTAATTGTGGCAGGGCGGGGTCTCACATACTAGAGAGCTCTACACGAAGTCCTCCCTTCCGGTTTAAGGTGGGGTTGTAGATCCAATTGTAGATGGCGTATTTCTTACAGTTCTTAAATGGCCAGGGGAAAACCACTGTCACAGTGACAGTCAATATGGTTCTTCTAACACACCAGAAACAACACGGAGGTAAATATTCACAAACGAAAGGTACTGACAACAATACACATGAGAGGTACATGTACTTTGTAAATCTCCCATTACTATCAATAAGCTTAAAGATAAGAAATAGTCATGGATATGTTCCAATGGTTAAAGTATTCTGCTTGGCTGGAAAGAAATATAGTATTAACTACAACCTTTGACCTAACTTCTACACATTGTCAAACTCAATTTACATACACTTACCTTTTATGCAGTATGACGTGCACACACAAAGAAGCACTGGTGTGAAAAGGATTACTTTGCATATAAACTGTAGCTGTTTTCAAATGTCAAGGTTTTACTAATACTTTCCATTCTAATACTGCAACGTCTTTCCAGCATGTGTGAAAAACTAATACTAAAACTTAAATGTCAACACAGATCAATGCGTTACAGCACTATCCTGAACAAAAGTTCATAATTGCCTAAAGCCATTTCATTGCGGAAGCAAAAATACTGCAAACGAGTATTATTAATGGTTTCCTGATGAAAAGCAATGCCGTTAACCTTTCAGAAAGACTGTTGTAAAATTTCATGTGCTTCTGCATGGGACTTGCAAGGTTTGGTGTGGACACCATGAAACAACAACTTTTCATTCATAGCATTAGCTCAGTGACCTGTGTACATACATGTATATTCAGTAGTCGACTTATATACATGGAAATGTCCACCTTTACATGTGTCCTGTGTCACTGTTGCAAATGTGTCTTTCAGTTTTACCTTGACAATTGACAACATTGGTGCACATGCACAGAATAAAAGGAAATTCTAGAGTTCTAGTACAGTCGTGGCACTGTAACAGCAGTAACTAATATTCTGTGACAAGGCTTGACAAATTAAACAATACTGCTCACACAAGATAAATCATCAGCAACACATTATCAGGGAAATATGCATTATCAGACTGTGTAATATCGAAGGCAATCTTCCTGAAGTGGCTTGAAAAGGTTGGCAAAGAGCCACCTGGCAGAAAGTAATATATCTGCAGACAACAGTCTGGGTACATGTGCATGTTCTACAACAAGTTGCATAATGGCATATGTAGCCTGAGGACATGGATAGTAGCAGGCTGACATACATGTATACCATCAAATTCCCAGGACTTGGAAGTATTCTTGGAGAATGACTTTAAGTTCAATACAAATGATAAACTGTGGAAGGAATTGTATGATGTAATTTAATCGGTTATTACACCACTTCCTGAATTCCTCCACATTCCATCCATCTTCTCTTCTCGCACATGCTGGGTCACCTTCATGTGCAACCTCATCAATCAACTGTCAAAATCACCACCCACCCACAACAAAAAATGCAACCAAAATAGCAGAGATGCAAACTTACAGACAAATCCTCCCACAACAGCATCTCCATATAATGAGGTAATACTAATAAAGAGATGTGTCTGACCTGTACTGCACTGTTGAGGAAACAGTTGTTTTCTCCGGGCGCGTTGAGCAGGCCCTTGGAGTTGGTGATGGAGAGACTGTTCCGCGGTGCGAAAATCCCCGCCATGGACGACATAACAGGCTCCGTCACGTTGTCCTTAAGCCATGACATCATAGCTCATCCTTCGGATAGACAGAAACAAAAACAAGACAAAAAATTTGGTAGTTAGTTTCTTTCACAGTTAGTGCTGTCTACAATATAACATTACATGTATCATAAAGCTGTGAAAGTTCAACAGATCTACATTTGTGTACATGGGTGCAACAGCAGTACACGATTATGCATATCAAATATGGTTTACAAACAAACAAGTCACATTAAAACAACATGCCTGTCCTCTTTTTTTTGTTTTCATTTGTGTGTGGATGTCATCCATTAAATTCACTTGGGGTTGCCAAAGTAGAAAACTATTTTTAAAAATGCACATTGATAATCATAAACCACTCTAAAAATGTACATCACTAAAATAAAATTGTGCTGCATTTTGTGGTGGAAAATTTGCAAACTTCATTCCAAATGTTAAACTCTATACTGGGTAACATTGATAACTGCAAACTGCCAATATTTTTTTCTCAAATTCACCAAAGAAAGGCTTTTAATGTTTAGTTTTGAGCTCTCTTGGTGTCTCTGCATTTGCAAACTTGCATCTCCCAAGAACTGGTGCCATGTTTGGTGAGGATGCTTTTGACACCAGGATTTCAGTACCAAGGACAGACATCACCTGATTTGACCTGCTTACAATTATACAGCAAGGAGAAGGCTGCTGTCAATCTGGAAACACACTCACATTTTCATGACCATTTCTGATCTTCACGTTTTAAACTGTGCATGTGCAGTGTGATGCATTGTGGGTAATATGTCAAACTTGAAGTATGGTCTGGACAGCACGTCGGCAGAACGTACTGCACCTGCGCGAAACCCGTAATGCATTGTACATAGCATTTCGGCAGAATGTCTCATATAAGGTTGTATTCGCTCATATAAGGTTAGCATTTCGACAGTAGTTTCCAAATGTTATGTCGGAAGGAATATCCTCTGCAACAGGCAGAATTCTGATGCAACGTTGACCAAAAATCCAATTAAAAACGCGAAAATATGGGGTTCTGCGCAGGCGCAGTACGTTCTGCCGACGTGCTGGTCTGGACAAGAAGTGTTCACAAGTTAGGGGCCTTCACCTTTGACCCCGAGCATGCGCAGTACACACCACGGAATGGCTTATTGCTCATCCAGCTACCTTTATCAGTCCACACCGGTAATGGTTTCGACCCATTTGTTGTATGTCAATACTAGATAATGGTTTGATGCTCAAAAAGACATACTGTCTCCCGGCTATGTCTCTGCAGACAATCTTCTGCAGCTTTCATCTGAGTTAACGATCCATCACAGGGCTTTACTATCCTTCTATTTCACTCTATGATGTTCCCCACTCCAACTTTCCCATTACAGGGGGGATGTGGCTTTGATCTCAGCATCTATGCGAGGCTTGCTATTTGCATTATCAAAATTACACACCGCGGGCACAATGGATTCACACGTATCTGGTCTCCACAGGATTACACAGTTTATTAACCAACCAAAAAATCCTTATCTGAATGACATTTGTAGGTCATTGCTGACAATAGTAAGTTTGCATATATGCAAGATGAATTGTAACATATTTCAATACATGCTGACTGTGTAATCATCTGTGTACTGAGGAAAACTTCCATTGTCATATACTAATTATAAAAACCAAAATTTCCAATTACAGATAAATTAAAATACAAGTATTTGTACAGGTACCAATGAAATCGCTTATTCCCACATAGCTAGCCCATGTACAGTTTAGCGTGTCTGTTTGTATGTTTGCTTGTGTTTCCAGGTATTTCCACATTATGACATACCAGGCACCTATCTTGTTGTCAATCTACGCCTAACTACGAGTTTTTAATTGATCTTTTTATCTTTAAGAAATGCCAATTTGTCTTATATAGAAATTAAGAATTTACTTTTAAAACTGTAAATACCCACAGCTTGTGTATAATATTATAAAACGAGCTCAATGGTTTGTAAATACCAACGCAATTCAGACTTTTGTCTGCCATGTTTGTATTGAAAATAAAGTTTCAAAAGTTTCAAAAAAGGCATATCAAGGGCAAAGACAGGAAGTTAGGTCAAAGGTTCCAGAAAAGGCTATCTCATTTCCTGTCTTCAATTTGTTTCTATATGCATGTCTGTTGCCTTTTGGGGGCCAGTGGAAAAAAGCATGGATAGAAATACTAGTAGTGAGGAATACACAATAATGAAATTCAATACAACAAGACACTCAAAAAAACTCTACATATTTGACAGGGGCATGAAATCTTCAATTTGTTGTTTTAAGTGTTTTGTTTAGTGATTACATACTTACATGTCTTCAGACAGTTACTCTTTCCCAGTCCAAGTCCTGTACAGTTGACGTTTATCTGTAGGATTTGGACGGCGCCCTGTAATAGACACAACCATTCCTGATTAAGTCCACATTTCACATTACACTGTTATAGTTCCTTCATTGAAATAAGATATGAAATAGCAGAAAAGCTGAACAGAATTGGATGCATTATGTATAATCTGGTTTAAGTTCTTTCCAGACCAAACTAACAAAAAGATATTTATATCCCCCTTGTGTGAGTACATATAACTGCACCATCCATCTTTTTCTATCTCACTAGTTATCTTAATTGAAGTGCAGAAGTTACAACTGGCGATGCCAAACTTTTTGACACTTTAAGTCTTTGCTCCATCATGCACAGCATAGATTATACTTCAAAGGAAATTCTGTTCTGTGCGTTGATGGTGAGGGCATGATAAATTATCTGGTAGGTATGATCTATATATATCTACGGTTCAGTACAATCATATGCTGTTCCTTCTAGGCAATATTGATGGGGCAATATCATTAAGTTTTGTACCAGAAGAGTAACATTTAAGATAGAGGTACTGCGTCACACCACTTCTGAAGGTGGCAAATGATAAGATACTGTAACGAACAACATAAAAGAAAAGGACCATTGTCTGAACCGCAATAAAAGATGTTACAAGGGAAAATCAACAAAATTAGGTAGACACTAGAAAAAAGAACTTGCATCACGTCAATACAAACTGAACATTTCTTTGTAAGAAATAGGATCATTTATTAAAGATTTTCATGACACTTAAGAGTTTGTCACACAACTTTGTTGGTATATTTTTGTCTGTGTACTTGTACATTATCATGCTCTTGTTTCAATACAAATATGCATGTTCTTTGAATTCAGAAGAAATCTTACATAGAAAAAATAATGCTTTCTCATATAAAACCAAACCCACACACACCGAGAACAATCTCTTCACAGTTCAAGAGAATCTACCCCAAAAGATAAAAGTTTGAAATTTAAATTGATGAGTTGGGTCAAACCCTTTCCCAGTCTGACTTGCCGTGAATCAAGATTGTTAAGCACTGGGACATTCTGGCCTTTTCCATGATAAATGTTTATTGGAAGATACTGAGTAATCTAACTTTATCACTCGCCACTATCTGGGTAAACCAACCATAATATCTATATGGCTCATAAGGTACACAGACTGGAGGAATTCCTTGGAGTTGGTGTTTAAAGTCTTGTCACGTACTGTAGTGCAAGGCTGACTACATCAGCTTTCTAGCAGCCCTCCCACTGCTCAGGCTCATAGAAACTCGATGGCCAACACCTCTATGTCAGGAGAATTGGAAACACCTTAATCCTGTTGATTTATGCATATGTGCTAAACGAGAACTGTTTGTTACCCTGGTGCAGGAGTCTGTGAGGATGGTTTCAATAGTGACAGAGAATCTCGAGCTCGTCGATGAAGGTTAGACATCCAGGTAATACGATACACCAAAAAGCAGTTACTCAAGCAACTGGATATGATTTTGGAAACGTCAGACGTTTCAGCTAGTATCCACTAGCTTTCGTCAGTGACTGAGAGACCAGAGGGCAAATGCAGGTTTATAAGCACTAACTATTGATTGATATGCAAATAAAGTGAAGACAATGAGCTCCTATGGTACTGACAACTTATTTCAAGATTTATAGTAATAGTATGGCCATGATCATGATTTTCAAAAGGAAAAGAAAAGAAAAAAAATCTAACAATCCTATTTGTCAGAAGGTTACGTAATGCTAAGTTATCTGCTTTCGGAATGTTTTTGCAGCTCTGCAACTATTGTATCTATGCAAAGGCCTCAGGATCTCTCCAGGTTTGGCAATCATCCATTCAATTTTCCAGTGAGTGGAGAGTACAAGGTATTGGGAGAGTGTTCATCAGATTCTAATGAAACATAGGTCGATGAAGTATTCAGTCCAATTTTCCCTGGAGGTCGATGCAGTTTTCAGCCCAATTGTCACTGAGGAGATGTCTTGTCTCCACTCCAGTTGTATTACCAC